CTCATTTCCACATTGCTCGTGCCCATCTCGGACAGCAGCTGGCTTGGCTGGAGCTGTGGTTTGTAGCCCCTCTCGCGCTGACGGCTTCTCCTCTCTCTCTGTAGAGCCCCACGAAGGTATCTTGCAAAGGGGCTGGCCTGCGGAAGTTTCCAAAGGAGCTTGGCCAAGGAGTTAAGTACCTTGAGCTCTCCAACAACTTCATCCAAAACCTGTCGAGCAGCCGCATGCCAGAGTTTGGGCAGCTTGAGTACCTGGACGTGTGCTTCAACCAGCTGGAAGCCGTGTCAGCCACGACCCTGGCTCAGCTGCCCCAGCTGCGCTCTCTCCTCCTGGGATCGAACCATCTGGACCGCAATTACGTCGCTAACGGGCAAGCCTTTCGTCTGCTCAGGAATATAGAGGTCCTGGACCTGTCCGCAAATAACCTGGAGAGCCACATGGCAGGCTGGTACATCAGCAACCTCACCAGGCTGAGGACGCTCGATCTCTCCGGGAATAGGATGACCAGGCTGCCGGCAGGGATCTTCTGGAGCACGCCATGGCTGCGCGAGCTTGACCTCAGCAACAACTACATCATGGAAATCGAGGAGGGAGCTTTTGAGGCTCTGGAAGAGCTGGAGGTGGTGAACTTGGCTTTGAATTCCCTCCACTGTATCTCTGGCTTCAGCCTCACGCAGCTGCGAGTTTTAAATCTCAGCTACAATGCCCTGGAGCTCTTCGTCTTGGAGGAGGGAGCGGAGCCCTACCTGCTTCAAGTGCTCGACTTGAGCCATAACAGACTCCTCTCTTTTCCAGAGCTCCCCAAAGCCCATTATCTCACACACTTAAACCTCTCCAACAACCTTATTGCTTCCCTGCTCCCAGGCTCACACCATCCAGGGGAGTTTGTACTTCGCTACGAGGAGATGGCGAGGTTTAACAGGACCTTGCATCCCACGGCTGGTCTGACGCATGTAGCTGACCTGGATCTCAGCAATAACCGGCTGCAGCTGTTCCCATTTACCTTCTTCCACAGCCTGGGCTCTCTGCACAGCCTCAGCCTGGCTGTGAACTGTCTCCAGGACATAGCCCGGGAGTCGCTCGCCGGTGGCATGGAGCCCGGCGACCGCTCGCCCATGTCGCCGGAGCGTGCCACCCTCTCTGTGCGCTCGCTGGACCTCCACGGCAATGCCATCCATGTGCTGCCACGCTGGTTTTTCAGTTCTCTGCCTCAGCTGGAAGCGCTTGACCTGGGCTCCAACAGCCTCCAGCCTTGTGAGAGCCAGGGCAGCCATCAGGGAGGGGGCTCTCGTGTGCCAGCCCCGGGAGACACCTGCACCCCCTTCTACAACGTGCCTCGCTTGAAGCATCTGAGTCTTTGCAAGAACAACATTATCAGGCTGCACCCCTACGCCTTCAACCAGACCTCGCTGCTCTCCCTGGACCTGTCGGGGAACAAGGACTTGTTCGTGCCTAAGGAAGCGCTGGGGGGGCTGGAGTTCACCCTGCAGAAACTCTCTCTGAGGGGCAACCAGATGGACAACAGCAAGGTGGAGCTCCCCTGCCTGGACACGCTCAAAGTCTTGGACCTCTCCGGCAATAATTTGAGCCTTTTGCCCACAGGTCTTTTCTGCTCCTCGCTGGAAAGCCTGGATGTTAGCAATAACAACCTGCGGACGTTGGAAAAGCCGGCGCTCGTGAGCTGGCCCCCCAGCCTGAAGGGCATGTCCGTGGCTGGAAACCCCTTCAGCTGTTGCTCGCTGGCCTGGCTGGG